ATGCTTCTGAGTTCGCAACTGATGGGGACAGTAGATATTGCTTAGAAGATAAGGGATTGAAATTGTTATATAGGATGGAATTTCAGATTTTTAATCACCAAGAGTGTATCGGGGGTGGGAGTTATTCCTGCTACTGTTTGGCCCAAAGTTCTTTCGGAGGACATAGCTGCCTCTGTCCTAGTCTGACTTTTTCAAGAAAGATCATCATTACCTACCACATGTCTCCAAATAGCAAGTCATCCAGTGTAAGGAGGTTGTCCAAAATACAAAAACCAAAAGATGTTATACATAAAGCAATCATAAATTATCTTTTGCTTAGATATGTCATTATGAAGTTTTGAAGAATCTGCTAATACTGACCACTTATTGAGTATTGACTATATATCAAAACATTGTTCTAGGCATGTTTGTCATTATATCTTCCATTTCAGAGTGGAATATTGAGGCCTAAAGGGTAAATTTGACACAGAAAGTTATCTTCAGTGCCAGAGCTATACTAAAACTTAGATTTCTTAACAAAACCTTTGTTCCTTTTCTAGTATTTTGATGATTTTTTTTGTTGTTTTGAGATATTGCTTTTGAAACGATTAAAATTTCTGAAAAGAGGAAAAAATAAGGAATTCTTTCCATATACCCACATTGTTGCCATTTCCAGGACTTTGTGTCTTTATTTCTGAGTTACTAGCTATTGTCATTTCCCTTGAAACCCAAGATCTTTTAATAATTATTGTGAGACAGGTAGGCCTGGAACAATTTCTCTTGCTTAATTTGGAGTCAGGGGTTTTGAGGCCCACATCTCGTGCTGCTTAGGGGCTAATCCAGCTGTATTCAGGCCTGAGCCCTCGAAGTTCTCAGGAGACCACATTTGGTGAAGTGGGTGGAACTGGGGTGAGCTGCATGCAAAACCCTGTGCTCTCTTACTCTCACTTCTGCTCTTAAGAAAGCTTTACTGGAGATGGAATTCCAAGGTGACAGCTTTAAAAGAAATATTTCCAGCTTATTTTGGTTATATTCTTTTTCTTCTCTATTTTCTTCTTTTAAACACTTAAAAATTGGGAGGTCCTAAGCAGCAGTGCTCTGGGGTCACTTTCAACAGTGCACAGGGGACATGTGGGCCAGGGACTGAACCTAGGCCTCTTCTAAGCAATGCACTACCACTGTGTACCACTACCACTTTGATCTCTCTTGTTCAAGATTTAATTTCTTAAGAGTAGTTTTAAAAACTGAAAATGGGGAGAAAGGTGCAGATATTTCTCATATCCTGCCTGCTCCCACATATGCACATACTCCTCCAAGTATCAGCTCTCCACTGGAGCCCTACAGGTTACAACTGAGTAATCAACCCGGACACATCAAAATTATTCAAAGTCCATGTTAAAAATTTACTTTTGGTATTGTACTTCCTATGGATTTGGACAGTTGTACAATGACATGTATCTACTACTAAGTTCATAGACAGAATATTTTTACTGCCGTGAAAAATCTCTTGTTTTACCTATTTGTCCTCCAATCCCTGGAAACCACTGATCTTTCTGCTTCCTCCGGAGTTTTCTTTTTCAGCATCATTGAAATTATATAGCATATTTCCAGTTGTGTTCTTTCACTTAGAAATATGCATTTTTGTTTCCTCTGTGTTGTGACTTGATAGCTCATTTCCCCATAGTGCTGAGCAGTAGCCCATGTGGTTATTTTTACCACAGCGTATTTGTCCATTCACTTCTTTGGGGATATCTTGGTCTCTTTTATATGACACAAAACAGATCTCATTCTGTTAGTCTTTTGTATATAGTACGCCTCAAGTTATTTTTATTGTTTTCTCTCTTTTCAAAAGTGTCTTTGGGTCATAGAAATTATGTAGAAATGCTAGAAATGCTTCAAGACTGGAAAGATGTCCCCAGGTGGAGAGTTTAGAGGGTGGACATAATATTAGAGGGAGCAACACAGGGGGAAAGGTTGGAGGAGGAAATGACACAGTAAGAGCAGTAAGCTGCAGGCAGTAAACTGGGTGCAGGAGAAGGACATGGGGGGGGGGGGTAGGACATGGTGACATGAATTTATATAATAGACATCATCTATATGGGTCAAGACCTCATTAGAGGTGCCAAGGATCTAGCTCAAAGGGCCGATTCACATACTTTGCTTGTGGGAGCCTCTGGTTCTATCCATGGAACCACATGGCCCCTAATCTCTGCCAGGAATGGCTTCAGAACACCACACTAGAAACAGTCCTCAGGCACCAATGGGTGTGGCCCCTACCACAAAATAAATACAACTCAATGGAAAAGTTCTGGCTGGAATTTTGTTTGACTGGAATTTAGTTTAGAATTATCCCTAGGAACGGAAACAAGGCAAGAGGGTAGATGAGATTGTTAAGAGAAAGTGTGGAGAGATTGGTATTGGCACATTTTACATCAGCAACCCAATCATGAAAATTTTGTAGCTGCATCTCAAGGTGATTTAATAAAAATAAATAGAGGAAAATAAATAAAGAGAAAGTATGCAGAGTAAGAAGAACAATGCAGTACATCACAGATCATCTGCACTGTAGCACTGTCCTCCCATTGTTCATTCATTTGCTCAAGTGGGCACCAGTAATGTCTTACAACAAATTGTGAGAATTGTTGTTACTCTTTTGGGCATATCAAAAACGTCACGGAGATGGTGGTGGAAAATAGGCACTGATGGAGGGATGGGTGTTTGATCATTGTACAATTGAAACCCAAGCACAACAATTTGTAAATCTACAACTGTACTTCATGGTGTTTCACTAACAAAAATTTAAAAAAAAATGTGATGGAGAATGGGCACTGGTGGAGGGATGGGTACTGGATCATTGTATAATTCAAACCCAAGCAGAAAAATTTGTAAGTCTACAACTGTACTTCATGTTGTTTCACTAATAAAAATTAAAAAAAAAAAGTCATGGGGAGCTTGCTAGGCTTTGCCATGCAGGCGAGATACTCTCGGTAGCTTGCCGGGCTCTCTGAGAGGGGTGGAGGAATTGAACCCGGGTCGACTGCATGCAAGGCAAATTCCCTACCCGCTGTGCTATAGCTCCAGCCCACAGATCACCTATTAGCATAAATCTAAGTCACATTCAAGTGAATACTTGCAAAGAAAACTGAGAAAGTATGTTGAGCAATAGGAGTAGACCTAGTAGTGATTGGAACCAAGAAAATCATGGATGAGGAAATAACTAAGAAAAGGGAGTTAGGGGCAGAGGAGATGCTCAGGCATTTACTTGCACACAGTTGACCCTACTTCAATCCCTGGAACCACAGGCGGTTCCCTGAGCACAGGGCCAGTAGTAAGCCCAGTGCACAGATGGGTATGATTCAGTCACCACCACCACCACCATCACCTATGCCTCCCAACACCCCCCCCAAAAAACAAAAAAGTCTTATTAAGAAAAGATTAAGAAAGGAGCATGAGGTGTCTTAGAAGGTAGAGCAAAGGGAGGATCAAGACTCCTGATTGTAAATCCTGCTGTGCCCACTGAGGCTGTAGCTGTGGATCTAAACGTGCAATACAGAGGAGATACTATTCCTACTCTCTTCTCTACTTTTGTATTTCTTTGTCCAACCTACTTCTCCAGAAGTACAGCACTGTATCCTCAGCAATATACTCTCACATTATGTATACAACTTGAACAGGAACTAAAAGTCTTATTTTTTTAGTAGGGGGATTCATGTTTTATCAGTTGTCTGAGGGTTTACTGGTAGAATTTCAAGTTGAATTTTTTGAACTCAGGTTTTCATACTTATTGACGGAGTTTCCCCCTTTCATCTATCCTTGGTGGTGATAGACAAGTTGAGGCAATAATAAAAAAATGTTTAATTTTTGGCTTCGGTTCATACCTAGTGGTGCTCAGGGCTTACTCGTGGCAGGGCTCAGGGGTGTCATTGAGGGTGCCAGGGATCAAACCTGGGTTGCCCATGGGCAAGGCCACATGCAAGTACAACATTATCCACTGTGCTAATACTCTGGCACTGAAAACTGCTTTAGAGACATGGGCAAAATCTAAAACCCCACTATATTTCCTTGTAGAGTTCATCTTTATTTTTCTATTAGATACAGTCTCTTGTCATTGCATTCCAACCATAGCCCTTGGCAAATAGTTATTCTCACAGGTGTGAGTGGTTTCTCATTGTTGTCTCATTTGATCTTTTTTCCTAATAATGAGATTATGAACATTATTTCTTGAGCTTTTTGGTCCCCTGTGTGTCTTCTCTAAAGATGGACCTATTTAAATCTTCTGCATATTTAAAATTTATTATTATGTTTTTGAGTCTACACTCTGAGGTGTTCAAGATGTATTCTGGCTCTGTGATTACCCAGGCTCAGGGATCACTCGTGGTGGTGCTTGGGGAACCATATGTGGTGCTGGGATTGAACTCAAGTCTTCTTCATACATGGCAAGCTCCTTACCCCTGTAACTCAGTCTCATTCTGTTCATTTTCTAATAAAAAATTATATTTCTGTTGTAGAATTGAATGAGTTCTTTATATATTTTAAATGATATCCCCATTAGTTGTATGATGTAAAATTTCCCTTGTATTTTTCTGAATGCCTTTTTATTTTAATGCTAGGTTCTTTTACTGTGAAGAAGCTTTTTAGTTTGACAGCGTCTCATTTGTTTATTTTCATTCCCCATCATTTCCTTGCCAAAGACATCTCCAAAGTCTGTCAAGAAACATATTGCCTGTTTTCCTTAATGTATTTTATGATTTCCTGTCTTGCATTCAAATCTCTAATCCATTTTGAGGTTTTATTCATAGTGATAGAAAGTGAGTGGTCCAGTGTCCTTCTTTTGCATGTGACTTCCCAGTTAACACCAATTTATTGAAGACTTTACTTGCTTTGTTGTAAGCTGTTGGCTCCTTTGCATAAATTAGTGGTGTGTAGCATATTGATACATTTATTGGTACTTTTTCACATTGATACTTTTTAATGTAGAATTTTTGAGTTGGAGAGTTAGTGTTTTGGTTTTTCCAACTACCATGGTTTCTATCCAGTTAAAACAGAGTAAATTACACAAATTCTTGCCAAGCACCATCTACGTGCCAACAATTCACAAACAAATGAACCACAGATATTCTGAGGTTGGATAACTATTACTATTGGAGAAGACAGGCACTTACACAGGAAATTGCAGTACAATGGCACGTGAAAAGAAGGAGGAAAAGTTAATAGCAAGTTTCTTGGATAAGGTGATAACTAGAGTCTTAAAGAATCCTAAAAAGTCCTAAAAAGTAGTAAAGAGGGTGAAGCAAGAAGGTGAAGAGCCCTAAAGTAGGTGAAGCAAGAGTGAGTTTAGGTGAATTGATCACTTGATCACTTGACATCCTGTTACTCATCAATTTGCTTGAGTGGGCCAGTAATGTCTCCATTCATCCCTGTCGTGTGCTAGTGTAGCCCAATGATGACTGCTCAAATCTAGGAACACGAAGAGCCTCAAAATGATCGTTCAGGGTCTTGACGAAGAAGTCTGACCATCTCGTAGGTGGGCGGCCCCCTGATCTTTTGATGTCCAGTGGAATCCAGTCGGTAATGACTCTAGTCCAGCGGTCATCTCCAAATCTCATTACATGTCCAACCCATCTGATTTTCGAAGCCTGGGCAAATGAGACAGCGTCCCTGATTCTTGATAGTCGACGGATGTCGGAACTCCGGATTCTTTCTCATTTGAGTGAAGCGTGATACTCCAAGCATAGCTCTTTTGATTCTTCTTTGGAAGACCAGAATAGTGTTCTCATCCTGTTTTCTTAGGGTCCAGGTCTCTGAGGCGTATGTTAGTAGGTGAATTAAAGGCAGGGAAACAGCATCAGTTTCTCAGGGGAATGCAAGGGAGGTGAGGAGTGCAGATGAGCAAGACCCTGAATACCATGTCCAGCAAGTTCACAGAGGAAGTTAAGTGAATGAGGGAGAAAGAGGAGGAGAAGAAGTGCTGGTTTTTATTTGCATTTTCCTGCTAATGGTTTTGAACACCTTTTTGGTTTTCAAATGCCAATGGCATGTCCTTGAGGAAATGTTACATTAGGTCCTTTGTCTTTGTCTATTTTTTAAATTGGGTTGTTATCCCTTTCCCTTCCACTCTTTATTGTCATTGACTTGACTTCCCCTTACATTTTTTTTTTTGGATATTAACCTTTAGGGCTGGAACAAATGGAGACACTACTGGTGCCCGCTCGAATAAATCGATGAACAACAGGATGACAGTGATACAGTGAACCTTAATTGACATATGGCACATATGGCTTGCAATTTTCCTCCCATTTCATAGGTTGATTGCCTCTTCATTTTGTTGTTTTCATTTGATGTGCAGAAGCTTTTTGGTGTAATACAATTCTGTTCATTTTTTGGTGTAATCTTATTACTAAGGGATCATTCTGGATGCTGAGTTGAAAATATAGAGGGCAGGGGGCCCAAGCGATAGTATAGTGGGTTGGGCTTGCATGCGGCCAACTCGGGTTTGATTTCTGGCATCTTGTATGTTCTCCTGAGCATTACTAGGTGTAGTTCCTGAATACAATGCCAGGAGTAGGCCCTGAGCATTGCAGGGTGTAATTGAAAAAGTCAAAAACAAAACAGACAAAAAACAAAAGCAAAGAAAGTAAAACACAGAGGGCAGAGGGGATGAAGGAGAACCTTTAGGAGACTATTATAATCATCCTAGTGAGAAACAATGGTGACTTGGATCCCTATGATAACAGTGGGGCTAGTAAATGTTTAGAATGATTTTTATTTATTTTTGTGGGGGCAGGAGCTCCTAAGCAGTGCTCAGGAGGTCTAGAGTTAGCTCCCTGAAATTCTTGGCCAGGGTGGCGGTTCAAAGCAAGGTGCCCCTCAGACACTGCAGGGCTGGAGATTACCTGGGATACCCCTGTGGTTCTGGGTGGGGGGGGGAGGTGTGTTCCTGAACTATACCCAATGAGGCTCAGGGGACCATGTGACACCAGGGATCAAGCCAGGGTTAACCACATTCAGGACAAGTGCCTTAAGCCCTGTTCTATGTCTTTGATACCCTAGAATATAGTTTAAATGAATTGGTAACTTTTTAAAATTTATTTATTTATTTATTTTTTTGCTTTTTGGGTCATACCTGGCGATGCTCAGGGGTTAGTCCTGGCTCATGCATTCAGGAATTACTCCTGGTGGTGCTCGGGGGACCATATGGGACGCTGGGAATTGAACCCGGGTTGGCCTTGTTGGCTGCGTGCAAGGCAAACGCCCTACCCGCTGTGCTATCGCTCCAGCCCTGAATTGGTAACTTTTAACTGTAGAATTTACTAGTGAGACTGGCTGTAAAATATGAGTCAAGTATGACCTCACTGCAGTTTATTTTGGAAAAATGAAATTGTCATTTTCTCAACTAGGCACGTTTATGAAAAGCAGACTGCAAGGTCTGGAGCAATAGCACAGAGGGTAGGGTGTTTGCCTTGCACGTGACTCACCCAGGTTCGATTCTTCCATCCCTCTCGGAGAGCCTGGCAAGCTACCGAGAGTATCCCACCTGCACGGCAGAGCGTGGCAAGCTCCCCATGGCAAATTCATATGCCAAAAACAGTAACAACAAGTCTCACAATGGAGACTTTACTGGTGTCCGCTTGAGCAAATTGATGAACAAGGGGAGGAAAGGGGAGAACAGGACAGTGCAGTGCTATAGACTGGAAGGGAATGTGGAGAGCTTGGTTTTGGTCATGTCAAATTTGCTCTGGCTCCCAGTATAGAAGTGGAAGTCTGTTTAGTGCCCAGTGAATCTGAGTTCCAAGAGGGGTCTGGGTGGGAGCTATGAGCCATAGGATGGGAAGACACTGAGAGCTGAAAAGAATGAGGGGAAGCTGGCAAAGGAGCTTGAGAAGGAGCCATTAATTAAAAAGAGAGTCAGAGGAGTTAAGTTTTGGATGATGACAAGTGAAGAAAAGCTGGAGGAGAGAGTGGGTATATCAAATGCGGCAGGATATTATTACTATTGTCACAGCATCCCACGCTGTCTCCTACCAATTTGGGGTTTGGCTTCTATAAACTCACATGTGAGTCTGAGGAACCTTTTCTTTATTTTCAGGTGATGATCTACTGCAGGGTGCAGGGCACTGGGCTGACACACATGGCACCTGAGGCTGGGACAGAAGTGCACCCTCGGAAACAGTTCTGTCAGTGGCCCTGCACGTGCCCGCGTCAGAAGCCTCGCTGTGCTCCTGGAGTGAGCCTGGTGAGGGATGGCTGCGGCTGCTGTAAGATGTGTGCCAAGCAGCCTGGGGATCTCTGCAATGAAGCTGATGTGTGTGACCCACACAAAGGGCTGTACTGTGACTACTCTGCAGACCAGCCGCGGTTCGAGACAGGCGTGTGTGCATGTAAGTCTCTATTTCCAAGCCTGGTGGCAAAGAGTGAGTCAATACAGAAGTACTTTTTTTTCCGATCCTCTAGTAATCAACTTGGAATAATCACCTTAGCTGGGATAAATACAAGGCAATTGTAGTTTTCAAACAGCAGTGGGACTCACCCCATTATGTTGGAAACCTGAGCAAAGTCAAAAGTATGTTTATGGGTCCCTGGAAGTCTTTGGTAGTTTCATTGCCTTGAAGTTCTCATGTCTCTAATGATAAAAATAAGAAAAATTATGTAGCATTTGACTTCTTAAAGTACCATACTAAAATGACAACTTTGTTAGCAGTATTGTTATGGGGAATTTGAATTATGTCTTTTCTGCAACTAAAAGATAATATTGCCTACAATGTAAGAATGTATAACTAGCATGCAGACACTCTGTGTTAATCTCAGCCTTGGTTTCTGTGCTTGGAACTAAAGCAGATTTTTGAAAATGAAGGAGGAGGAACTCCAAATCTCTAACCCTCAGTCTTATGGATCTAAGATTTGGAGACTGATTAAAAACCCGGTGAACTTCCCAAAACCTTGACAATTCAGGATGACAATTTACTCAGGATTAAAAAAAATAAAATTTCTAAGGGAAGAGAAAAACTCATGTCAGTTGGGGAGTTAAGGTAATGCAGGAAAGTGTAAGGGAGAAAAGTTACTGATGAAGTTTGGTCTGAACATGGAATGAGAGCCCCTCTATGGAGCTGGGTTGACTGTAGACCAAATCCGGTCTACATTTAGTTACAAATAATCTGTGTTGCTTTAAATATCAGAGTCCAGTAGCTGTGACATCAAATGGTCTGCAGTGGCTAAAATAGTCACTATTTTGTCCTTTATTGTCCTTTACAGGAAATTTTCTGATCAATGACACAGAACAACAAATTTTAAACTTTCATTGAAGAAGTGAATGGAAACTCAAGAGGGTGTGTGTGTGTGTGTGTGTCTGTGTGTGTGTGTGTGAGAGAGGGGGGGGTGGAGGGGGAAGTTACCTCTGATGGTTTTAAAAAAATTTTTTGGAGGGGCACATCTGGTGGTGTATGACTATCACTCCAGCCCCCTGAAAATACCTGATTTTTTTTTGGTTTTTGGGTCACACCTGGCGATGCACAGGGGTTACTCCTGGCTCTGCACTCAGGATTTACTCCTGGTGATGCTCAGGGGACCATATGGGATGCTGGGAATCGAACCCGGGTTAACTGCGTGCAAGGCAGATGACCTACCCACTGTGCGATCTCTCCAGCCCCCAAATACCTGATTTTTTAAAAAATAAAAATTCTTATGAGAAAACTGAAAATTTTTAAGTTTTATGAAGCTTATTAGAATATAAGTAGAGACAAGCTTTTGATTTCAATATGTTGTTATTGTTTTGATTAAATACATAAAAAGAATATAGTCTCATGCTGGTTTTCATTAGCAAAGGAAGTAATAATTTAGCACATTTTTCAAATCAGTGTGACTATTCTTATTTTGATGTTAAAGCTTGAGATGTGGTAGTTCCTTAAAAATTTGCTGCATCATAGTATCAGAAATCACATCAATAAACCTTTCAAGCTCTTGATGTTAAATTTCACATCTATCCAATAGCCACTGTAGCACTGTAGCATGGTCCTCCCATTATTCATCAATTTGCTCCATGTTACTGTGAGACTTGTTACTGTGTTTGACATATTGCATATGTCACGGGTAGCTTGCCAGGCTTTGCCACATGGGCGAGATACTCTCAGTAGTTTGCCGGGCTCTCCGAGAGGGGCAGAGGAATTGAACCTGAGTTGGCTGGGCTGGCCGTGTGCAAGGCAAACGCCCTACTGCTGTGCTATTGCTCCAGTCCCCAGTAGCCACTAGGGATAGGTAATTTTACACATGCATAATTTTATAATGCCATTTTTAAAACACCAGTTTAGAAAAAATAGTTATGAAGGTATTGCAACATTTGATAATATACAATATTTTTTTATTTTTTATTTTTTTAAATTTTTATTAGTGAGACACCATGAGGTACAGTTGTAGACTTACAAATTTTTGTGCTTGGGTTTCAATTATACAATGATCAAATACCCATCCCTCCACCAGTGTCCATTTCCCACCACCACGGATCCCAGTGTCCCTCCCACCCCCCAACCCCCCTCCCTCCCTGCCTCTGTGGCAGGGCATTCCCTTTTCTCTCTCTCCTGATAATATACAATATTATAAAAACCACATTAATACCAATCTCGGGGCTGGAGCGATAGCACAGCGGTAGGGCATTTGCCTTACAAGCGGCCAACATGGCCAACCCGAGTTCGATTCCTCTGCCCCTCTCGGAGAGCCCGGCAAGCTACCGAGAGTATCTCGCCCGCACGGCAGAGCCTGGCAAGCTCCCCATGACGTATTCGATATGCCAAACACAGTAACAACAAGTCTCATGATGGAGATGTTACTGGGCCCGCTTGAGCAAATCGATGAAAAATGGGAGGACCCTGACCTGAATACCAATCTCATTAGAAAAAGTCTACCTAGGTCTGGAACGATAGTACAGCAGGCAGGGTATTTGCTTTGTACATGGTTGACTGAGATCCAATACCCAGCATCATGTAGGTGCCCTGCACATCACCAGGAGTAATTCCTGAGAGCAGAGACAGCAGCAACCCTTGAACATCACTGGGTGTGGTCCAAAAAACCAGAACAAAACAGTCTATGTAGTGGTTAGGTACAAAGGTCTCAGGGCAGGTGCAAATTTTAAAAGCTTCTTACTTTTGCTTGAAAGCTTGGATTCTATCATGGACAAGAAGTTGTTTCCTTTAAAGTAACAAGCTCACTTGACTTCATTGTCTACCAAATACTTAAGAGTCAAGAACCATGTTTCATCTTTCAGTTATTACTTCAAGTAAGATTCCCACTAAAAAATAGGCTAGTTTGACCCTCGAATAATATTGGTACCTTTCTTCAAGGTAACTATCGTACTTTGATAAAGTATGAACAGAAATGCTCTATGTATTTCCTTTACTGTCAATTAGAATTACATTAAAAGATGTGTACTTGATAATTAAGATTTAATAAAATCAATAATTTTTACTGTATCAACAAGCACACTGTAAAAAATTAGCCTCTGTGTTTGTGTGAGAAAGAGAGAGAGAGGGAGAGATGGAGAATAAGTGTGTGTGTGTGTGTGAGAGAGAGAGAGAGAGAGAGAGAGACAGAGAGACAGAGAGAGAGAAGGAAGGGGGTACCAAACCTCAGGACCTCACTCATGTGTTCTACTGCTGAGCCATACATAGCCCAACCCTAGGCCTTCCCTCCCTCATGCCATCTTTTAAAACAAGCATACACCAAGGAAAATACAATGACAGACTATATAGTTGATGTATGGTACAGGCCAGTATATATTTTTTCAGCTGCTGGTGTTTTATTATCACAAGTGCCAATATCAACACAGGAGAAAAAAATATTTCAATCAAATTTTAGTATTCTAAAAAGATTTTTCTTGTTGTTTCTGTCTTTTGAGTAACTCCTATGGTGCTCAGGGATCACTTTTGCCTCTGTACTTAGGGATCACAGACCAGGGATCAAACTTGGATGACTTTGCTGGTACAAGGCAAACACCCTATCCACTACACTATCTCTAATCCCTCAGTAGTCTTGACTTTGTAGATTCTCTGAAGGGCTCTCTAGATCAAGAATTCTCAATGAAGTATAAGTTTTCCCCTATTTAAAGAAAAAATAAATCTGTTACCTTGCAAATTATGACTTCTCTAGTCATCTAAGTATAATTGCTTCTTAAAAGTATATCCTAACCTAACATTTGAGGCTTTGAGTTTCATTCTAGGCACTGCCAAAAGGAAGAGCGAGCGAGCGAGTGAGACAGACAGACAGACAGACAGACAGAGATATATAGATACAGACAGAGAGAGACAGAGATATATAGAGACAGAGACAGACAGAGGCAGAGAGATATCTTCAACTGTTGGTGGATAATCCAGAGAAATGTGTTTATCACCATTGTCTCTGACTCAGCCATTATCTCACCGCCATACTCCTTGTGATTAGTTTAAATGAAGTTTAGGATAGGGCTTTTAATTGAGTGTAATTCCGAAAGTGACCACTGGGGGCTGATAATCTACAATATAAACAAAATTCTCATTTCCCCTGCTTGCAGATGTTCTTTGAAAGAGATTCCAGATGGGGTCTAAGACACTGAGAAGTGTACTTCATAAAGAATACAGTGACTTCCTCTAGAAGGCTTCATCTATCACAGCTATGGTTTCTTTTTTCAGACCTTGTAGCAGTGGGATGTGAGTTCAACAAAGTTCATTATCATAATGGTCAAGTGTTTCAGCCCCATCCCCTGTTCAGCTGCCTCTGTGTGAGTGGGGCCATTGGATGCACACCGCTGTTCATGTCAAAGCTGGCTGGTGGTCACTGCTCTGGAGTCAAAGATGGAAAGAAGACGGAACCATCAAAATGTGGCCTGGGATCATCGCAACAGCAGCACTCAGCAAACTATAAAACAATGCCAGGTGCACATAAGTAGAACACTTTTTTATGGATGACTTCTGTTTGTTTGTTGTTTAGGTACTGTGGTTATAGTGGTGCTAACTTTTATGGTTTTCAGGTATGAAGTTACAGCACCTTCACGCATCAGAAAGCCCTTCCATTGTTTCCTGTTTGGTATCACAAGCAGCCATCAAGTATGATTTGGTGCTTAGTAAGAGACTTGGTTCAGCTTGGTTCAACAATTCCTGCTTGCTCAGTTTTTGCCTCAGGAAGGTACATCCTAAGTATCTGAAAGGAAAATGTTTCAGGCTTCTTCCCCCTTGAAATATTCCATTCTTAAAAGCCTTAAAAGATCAGGAAAACCCTCCTAAAATACTACCTCTGCAAAATACTACCTCTGCATACTCTATTAGAAATCATTCTAGGAAAACTGAAAAAGCATTTTTCACAGACACACTAGACAAACTTTTATTTTTATCATAATATCTGGGTCATGATATTTGGACCATCCATTTCCCCCAATTTTATTATTATTTTAAATGGAATGATCAACATTTTTTTCCCTTTTCTTTTCTTGAACTCATCTGGCAGGTCAAGCCTTAACTTTTGGCTCTACACTCAGGGATTACTCCTGGTATTGCTCAGGGGACCATCTGTGGTGCTGGGGATCCAACATGAGTCAGCAAGTACTCTACCCACTATATTATCTCTCCCACCCAGTTCCAAAAATTTTAAAGGCAGTGTTCAATATGTAGCAAGCAAAAAGGAAGGCTACTGATTAAAATTATTAAGGACATGCTTTGAATTTGCAAGTATTATTTTCTTTAAATAGAAAAAAATTATAAAATTTTCCCTCTAAATAAAAACATATACACACCCACAGGCACTTTAAAATAGGTTACATGGGTATGTATAAACTAATCAGAAGCATAAAATGAGATTATCTTGAGCATCTGACCATTTATAATTACCAAAAATATTATTTATAAATTTTATATTCTTGTCTGCTCTAAGCATCTTATTTTTTTGTTTTATTTTTTTAATTTTTATTAGTGAAACACCATGAGGTACAGTTGTAGACTTACAAATTTTTGTGCTTGGGTTTCAATTATACAACGATCAAATACCCATCCCTCCACCAGTGCCCATTTTCCACCACCACGGGTCCTAGTATCCCTCCCACCCCCATCCCCCTGATCCCACCCTGCCTCTGTGGCAGGGCATTCCCTTTTGTTCTCTCTCTCCTTTTGGGTGTTGTGGTTTGCAAAAGAGGCATTGAGTGGCAATCATAAGCATCTTATTTAACTGCAGAATTATTTGGGGGAAACTTTACAAATACCAGCAAGTAAAGCACAGACGAGGGAAGAGAATTCAAAAGTCATATTATCAGCCACATTTGTATTCTTATCCAGAAGTCAAAGAATGACATTTTCTTATAGTTTCTTATAATTTAGAGCTTAGTAAATGAAAGGTGTCCTGGAACTAATATTTATATATGCTAGAATTTGGAGTTCACATGCATGGTGTTGGTATTTAATAAAAGTAACTGTTCCCATGAATTAGTCTTAGATATGTAGAAACTGTGGGCCAGGGAGATAGCTCAAATGGGTCCATGATTTGCATGCCCAAGGCCCTAGTTCAATTCCTGGCACTACATGTTCTTATAGTGCTGGTGGCACTCAAGCACTATGAGGAAGGCCTTTAAGAAATTTGTTTTAAGGGGCAGAAGAATAGTACATTGGGTGCTTGCCTTATACTCAATTAAGCAGGATTTGATCCTCATCATCCTGTATGGTCACCTGAGCTCAGCCAGGAGTGATCCCGAGGACACAGCCAGGGATAAGTGCTGAGCACAGCTGGGTGTGGCCCCCAAATCAAAAGAACATAATTAAAATTTTTCTAGACATGTAGAAACTATGAAATAGACATATCAGGGACTTTGATTATATCAGTAAATTTCAAAACATTTGTGATATGGTAAATTTGCATTTATCAGTTATTCAGTTACCAGCAAAGTACTAATGTTCTAAAATTTTTGAAATTATAAGCCAACTTCTTCATTTTCCAAATTAGAACAGTGGTTTTGTGTACCAAATATGAATGGCTTGATAGAAGGTTCTTTGACCCATACATGAAACTCTGGGTACTTTGGGTAAGTTTTCCACAAGTCAACACCTTGATATCAAGTTCAATTTGGTTTCATCAGTGGATGTTCATCAGTTACAAGTTTCGATGGTATCACTTGGATCCTGGTTAATGATGTTGGATGGTCATTGTTTGTGGTCAGTACTTTGCTACAAAAAAGAAGTTTCCCAAAGTGATCACTGGGATTTGAAATGCAGGCCTAGACATATTTCAATGGAAGTCTGTTCACTCTAAAGTCTCATTGTTAATTAACAGAGAAACTATATATATATATATATATATATATATATATATATATATATGGTTCCAAATAGTAGTGTGGCTTTTAAAACCGGGCAAGGACAAACACACACATACTTTAGGATATATTTATGATAGGAATTGATAAATTGAGTTAATTCCAGGTGGTCTATGGTTGGAATCTAGCTTTGCTTGGTTATTATGAAGCATGATGCCATGCTTTTCTAAATGCTCACCAAATACTAAATCTTTAAAAATCTCTTCTAGTTTTCTTTCTTTTTCATGAAAATTAAACATCCTCCAACTGCAGCTCTATGCTTATCTTTGTGGGATTATTGGTAATGCGATCATCTAACCAACCTTTATTTATTGCAGATGCGAGCCAGGCTTTTAATCTGCTCCCTGCATTGACGCTTTAAACTGTGTCTACCTTCCAGGTATCTTCATGTTTCTGCTTCCTCCTCTCAGTTCTATGGGCAACTGCAAGATCTTACATAATAACCTTGAAGATAGTATCAACATATTTTATTGAGGGGTCGATCAAATATGAATATGATATTTCCTTCAAAAAAGGGCAGTTTTACCTTTGGGTAGTCTGAGAACAAACAAAAAAACAAAAGAGCAATTTTTTTAGGGTTAAAAAAAATTAGATGAACATCTTGAAGTAATGTGGCTAAAATTTTATTATGTTCAACTAGAAACTCAAATTACCACCTATTTCCAAAAATCCATTTTAGCATTCATAGTAAGAAAATGCCTTGAGACATTAACATCATAGTTTGCTCAAAATGAAGCAAGGGCCTGATTCATTATGACCTGAATAAGTTGCTCCCAGTGGAATTATAAAGTGGTGGAATTGTTATGTCTTCAAATCTTTTTGGAAGCGATTTAAGACAGCTTTTGGAGGAAATACAAAGGGAGTGATACCACAGGAAATATTATAATAAAGCCGAAAGTAAACTCGATCCTGTCTTTTCCATGACTCATAAATGAGATTTTAGTTTAGCTCATTATAGAATAGGGAGGGAGGACTTAAAAACTTTCTCAACTCCCAATCCTTTTTCTTCAAGAAATTCAACACAGGCAAGCACTGCAAGAAACATCCTCGTATGCATCCAAGGCATAACAAATGCCATGGATTCATGATTTGGCTGATTGGTTGTTTTGTGTTCAACGTTTTTACTGGTGCCACAATTTTTCATAACCCCCCACAATTCAATTATGTGTCTCCAGATAGGTTTGTGACCGACATTTTAAGAAGCTAGGATATAGAGAATTCCTAAAAGATAAATTAAATATAATTTTAACATATTATGAAATCAATAAAGATCATATTATTCTAATAAATATGCTGACTTTCCTAATCAAATTACTGTTTATTCCAGCGTCTGTTGGAAATAACAACAAATCTGAGGCAAAGAAAAGAAAAAAGGAAGATATCTAATGAAACATAAGCTTAAGAGATTGGAGAGATAGTACAGGGGTAAGATGCTTGGCTTGCTGACACATGGCCAACCTCAGTTAAATGTCCAGCATCACTTGGTCTCTGAGGACTGCTAGAATCCCTGAGCACAGAGTAGGAGTAAGTTCTGAGCTAGCCACAAACAAGACAAGTTTAGTACTCAGGCGATGGGCTAAACAGAAAAAAACCAAATGGGTAAATCTGTTTGTCACAGATAAAATAGTTTTAGTCCTATGAAACTGAATTTTAATCCAAATCTTAATTCAAATCTTTAGTTAAGATTCTAACATTCGATCAAAGTTATCTGGGGAGTGGAAAAAAAAGAGAATAATGAATTAGACTATAAACTTATTTTATTAATTATAACAAGGTACAGATTAAAAATGATTAAAATCATCTATCTACATGAGTATGTATGTATATAAATCTGTATCTCATCCCCACCCCACACTTCGTTTTAGCTTATAGGAATCTCCCACTTATTTGGAAAAGAAAATGTCTTGTGCAAGCAACAAAGTGGACTCCTTGCTCCAGAACTTGTGGGATGGGAATATCTAACAGGATCACCAATGAAAATAACAACTGTGAAATGAGAGAAGAGAAAAGATTGTGTTATATAAAACCTTGTGACAATAATTTGTCAAAGACAATTAAGGTAAAGTTTAATTATTATTTCTGCATTTGGGGGTCACTCTCAGCAATGCTCAGAAGTTACTCCTGGCTCTGCGCTCAGGAGTTACTCCTTGCTCTGCACTAAGTAGTTACTCCTGGCAGTGCCTGGGGGACCATATGGGATGCTGGGAATCGAACCCACGTTGGTCGCATGCAAGGCAAATGTCCTACCCACTGTGCTATTGCTCCAGCCCCAAAAGTTTAATTATTAACCCAACATTAAGGTCCTGAGGAGTGTGTGTGTGTGTGTGTGTGTGTGTGTGTGTGTGTGTGTGTGTGTGTTGGGGTGTGGGTGTGGTGGTAGTATGGAGGGAGAGTTCTGATGGTTTGGTCTTTTCAGTAAACTTAACTTACAAATTATGTCTTAAAGTTAGTCAAACTTTTTTTTTTTTAAATTGAATCACCATGAGATAGTTACAAAGCTTTCCTGTTTGAGTTATAGTCATACGATGATCGAACACCTATTCCTCCACCAGTGCACATTCTCCACCACCCATGTTCTCAGTATACTTCCCCCTTTTCCAACCCTCCCCCTCACTCTGTGGCAATTTCCCCCATACTCTACTTTTGGGCATTATGGTTTCCAGTAGATACTGAGAGGTTATTATATTTGGTCCTTTATCTACTTTCAGCACACATCTCCCATCCCAAATGATTTCTCCAACCATCATTGACTTAGTGATCCCTTCTCTATTCCAGCTGCCTTCTCCCCCAGCTCATGAGGCAGGCTTTCAGCCATGGAGCAATATTCCTGGCATTTGTCTCAACTGTCCTTGGGTGTCAGTCTCATATTATATTATTTTATGTTCCACAAATGAGTGCAGTCCTTCTATGTCTGTCCCTCTATTTCTGACTCATTTAACTTAGCATGATACTCTCCCTGACTATCCATTTATAAGCAAAGTTCATGACTTCATCACTCCTAACAGCTGCATATTATTCTGTTGTGTAGATGTACCAAAGTTTCTTTAACCAGTCATCTGTTCTAGGGCACTTGGGTTGTTTCCAGATTTTGGCTATTGTTAACAGTGCTGCAATGAACATATAGGTGCAGATGTCATTTCTACTGTGCTTTTTTGCATCCTCGGGATATATTCCCAGAATTGGTATTGTGGGGTCATATGGAAGCTCAATTTCTAGTTTTTGAAGGAGTTCCCATATTGTTTTCCAAAAAAGCTGGACTATTCAGCATTGCCATCAACTGTGGAGAGGCCCTTTTCTCCCCACAACCACACCAACACTGGTTGCTTTTGTTCTTTTTGTTGTGTGCCAGTCTTTGTGGTGTGAGACGATATCTCATTGTTTTGATTTGCATCTCCCTGATGATTAGTGATGTAGAACGTTTTTTCATGTGCCCTTTGTAATTCTTTTTTTTTGAGGAAGCTTTTGTTCATTTCTTCTCCCCATTTTTTGATGGGGCTGGAGGGTTTTTTCTTGTACAATTCTACTAGTATCTTGTATACCCTGGATATTAGTACCTTATCAGATGGTCATGGGTAAATATTCTTTCCCATTCTGTGGGTGTCAAACTATTTTCAAGAAAATCAGATATTGTTGTGTGAAAAAAATTATAACCAAGTAGAGAGTTCTGTTACCGTGACTGTAGATATTTTAATAGTATGAATTTCAATTAGTCTGATTCAATGTGGGTCCTACAGTATCAATTGCTTTTTAAGAGTAGATTCTTATTAGGTATTAACATCTTTTTAAGTATCTGCCATAGAGGCAGGCTGGGGAGTGAGGAGTGGAAGTGTGATGGGAGGAAAACTGGGGACACTGATGCTTGGAAATACACTCTAGTAGAGGGAATGCTGTATGACTGAAACCTATTCATGAAAAATTTTCTAAGGGTCTATTTCATATTGGTTCAATTAAAAAAATCTTTTTAAAAATTATGAGCAGGTCCAAGTTGATGAAAGGTTTTGGTTGCTACACCATAATTATAAAAATGAAATTATGAACACTAGAGAAAGTCTGGTCCTAATTTTGCAACACCAATGTGGGAGAGTAACCATACCATTTCAAAATATATATATATATATAACACACACATACATATATGTATATATATATATCTATATATACACTTGTTAACAGACTATGATAACATACTCTAAGATTGCTTGGTATAACAGGAACTGGTCCTATTTCTAGAACTAAGCAAGGCAACTGTCTCGAGTACCTTTAGAAATTCTACAAAGAATTTTTTCCTAAGCTATTTTCTCATATTAGAGAAATCACAAAAATCATGATCATCCTGTTGTTCGTTGATTGCCTCGAGCAGGCACCAGTAACGTCTCCTTCGTCCTAGCCCTGAGATTTTAAAGTGCCATATTCAAGGCTCTTTTAGGGCTAGAAGAATGAGACCCATCATTGTTACTGGTAGTTGGCATATTGGGTATGCCATGGGGAGTTTGCCAGACTCTGCCGTGTGGGCAGGTTACATTAAGTAGCCTGCCAGGCTGTCCAAAAGTAAGAATGAGATAAGATATCACGCAGCCGCGCACTTCTGGGAGCTAGGTTTTGTAGTCTCTGGGTCTTGGCTATTGATGGGATTACATGGCGCCAGGGGGTCAGTTGGTGGGTGTGACCCCTGCCTACTGGAAGATGGAGGATCTGGGTGGAGGATGCTTAGCCCTGATCCAAGCAGGCTTGGAGATCTCAGCCCTGGGACCCGCATGCCTTTGTTCCTCTGCCGGTACCTTCATGCATGTGGAGAATGGTCTCAGCATGGTTCTGGCTGGTTCTGGAGGTCTTCGGCTGCCAGAACTCTGCTCGGGGCGGGGAGGGAACTCAACCCGCCCCCCTCCAAAGAGCCCTGGCGAGAACAGCTAGGTGCGGGGGCAGGAGACTCTTCTTATATTAGAAAGTTGGTAATTCTTGGAGCACCTGGACAAAGGGGAGCCTGTAAGCCTCAGGAGCGTGTTAGAAGTGAACTCCAAGCCCTGAGCAGGCACCAAAGCCGCCCCTTCCCCAATAGGTACAGCAGCAATGGCAAGGCAGCCGCTCAAGCAGCTGCAGTTATTCTTCCCTTTCCCAGCACTTTGGATTCACAGCCCAGCCTCCATTACCTAATTCTGAAGAGGGCATCCTGGCCATCCCAAACGCATTAGGCCAATAGTCCACTAGCCTATTCCAATATAAATACTCCCAAAACTCACCAAATAACAGTAAATCCAAGACTGTGAACAACCATAATGTAAAAGAACACATTCCCTGAAGCTTCACTAGTGGTCTCACATAAGGCAGAGGGGCACCAAAAAGGTAGTATTCTCAAAGGGGAAAAAGGAGACCACTATTGACCAAGCTCATCTAGAATCCTCCCTTGTAGCGAGGGGGTGGGGTGTCTCTGGTAGTGAACTGGAGGAACCCACCTCCATACTACCATAGCAACATGAAGAAACGGCACAGATCCCCACCATGAGTGGATGAAGAAAAGAGCCTTGAAGAGACAAGAGGGAATTCCCACAAATATAATAAAGAATTCAGAGATGAAATGTTAAGGATGTTCAGTGAAATGGTGGAACAGACATCCAGTAAATTAAAGACAATGAAAGAAACAATGGGACAGACAGCCATCAAAATAAAGAAGAAATGAGAGCAGAAATAAGAAAGCAACAAACAGAAGTGTCACTAATAAAGGATTTGGTAGATGTAATTAAGAAAGTTGGTAATTCAATTTTATATGGAATAGCTATTACCTATCTATTCAAAAGGTAGATAACTGAGCTGTTAGGTAATTTGCTAAGTTTTAGATAAATATTTAGTAAGATATAATCCTAGATATTAAAAAAGATATTTTCATTGTGGAACCGAGTGAAATGTAGGTTAACAAAACATGGAGAAGTGAGTCCTATATGATGGAGTAAGACCAGGCAGGATTCTGGTTAGAGGGGATTTTGTTATTGATTAGTTGACTGGTTAATCAAACACAGCAGTGCTCAGGGGCTAATCCTAGCTCTGTGCTCAGATGTACTCCTGGTGATGCTAAGGGGACCATGTGATGCTGAAGATCAAACCCGAACTCCAGCTTCCAAAGCATACTCCTAGCTCATTAAGCTTTCTCTCTGGTCACAAACAGCACTGTAAATCATATTGCCTCAAATTAAATAAAAAAAAAATAGAAGAGTATCATAAATCACTAATGACAGCTATCAATACACCAAAAATAACTGTCTGCATTATATCTTATATAGTTATCATTTTTCTAGGCTGTTCTAATAAAATTCAAACAATGACTTACTGTTGTGTATCTTTTCAGATCCCCAAAGGAAAAACATGCCAACCTACTTTCCAACTCTTCAAAGCTGAAAAATTTATCTTCTCTGGATGCACAAGTACTCAGAGTTATAAACCCACTTTCTGTGGAATATGCTTGGATAACAGATGCTGTGTTCCTAATAAGTCTAAAATGATTACCATCCAATTTGATTGCCCAAATGAGGGTTCATTCACATGGAAGATGCAGTGGATTATATCTTGTGTATGTCAGAGAAACTGTAAAGATCCAGGAGATACTTTTTCTGAGCTCCAGATTCTATAACACATGCCTGGGGAAAGTTAAGGCTAATCACATGATTACATAAAGAACAGGAAGAATACCCAACTACCTAAAAACTTAAAAGATATTAAGTTTTTTTTTAAAATATTCTCCTAAAAAATTTCTGTAAAATTGTAAAATTAAAAAAAATTAACTATTACTTTAAAAATATATTTTATAATTATATAGTACAGATATCCATCTGGGTGTTCTACAGTAATGTACAAAAATCATCTTAGTCTGTGAAAATCTGGAATACTTTGTTAAAAATACTTGAAAAGCAAATCAGTTTTAATATTTCATTTATATTCTGACAAGGTCAGTGCCTATCAGATGAGAATCATTATAGGGTAAGCAAGATTTGAGATTAAGTTTTGAATAGAATTATGCTTACTCTGTATTTTTACTGCTTTATCCTGAATATCAGTTCATTACAATTTCTTTTGAAAGATGGCGGAACCTATCTAGCTTCTGTTGACAACACTCTAAAAATTATTATACCAAATATTAAATAAAACTTCAGGATAAAGACCATTAGTAGTACTCATGTTGAAAAGGAAACTCGACAGTGTAACAAGAAATAAAGTACACACTAATTATTTTTGCTTGAAAATAGTTAAAGGTTATTTCCTTAAATGATAAATTCATCCTATGGATCTGAAATATACATTCAGACTAAAGATAAATTAATGTTAAAGACAAATTGGGAGATTATAGTAACTGGGACTCTTTCAATAGCATGCTGCTAAAGTCACTTACTGCAAAGTTCAGAAGTTATCAAGCTACAGTTATGCTGTTCACTTACATAAATGGTAACAAAACAGTATGAGTAGCACTGCTCAAAAGTATTAACATTTATTATTAGAAAATTGCTTTCATAAAAAGCATATTTTAAAATAATTCAGCACAAATACATGTTAAATGAAGTGTGACTCTGATTCAACAGTTGTAATAAAGCCAACAATATTTCACCACATTGTTCAGATTTTATACCAAATTTTTGAAAAAAGAGTGGGTGTGACCATTTGAAGCATTAATTGTGCAAGTTTTTCATTTCATTTCATCATCCTGTTAATCGTCGATTGCCTCGAGCAGGCCCCAGTAACGTCTCTTTCATCCTAGCCCTGAGATTATATTCACGGCTCTTTAGGAGAATGAGACCCATCATTATTACTGGTATTTGGCATATTTGGTACGCCACGGGGAGTTTGCCAGACTCTGCCCTGTGGGCAGGCTACATTCGATAGCAATTGTGCAAGTATTACTTAAAATATCATTTATTACTAAAAAGCTTTTATACAAGACTAGGATGCAGAAAGCGTGTATATATGTTAAAAATGTATAGTCCCGGGGGCTGGAGCAATAGCACAGCGGGTAGGGCGTTTGCCTTGCACGCGGCCGACCTGGGTTCGATTCCCAGCATCCCATGTGGTCCCCCGAGCACCACCAGGAGTGACTCCTGAGTGCAAAGCCAGGAGTAACCCCTGAGCATCGCCGGGTGCGACCCAAAAAGCAAAACAAAAAACAAAACAAAAAAAAAAAGAGTATAGTCCCAAGTCCACACTCATCATTTCATGGAAGTCAAATGAACATTTTTCTGGCCTAAAAAAAAAAAGACATTATACTTGAGAAACTATTACACTATTAAGTGCTGACTTACAAAATTTAAAAATTGGAAAAAAATGCTGTCCACTGGTTTATCTGGAACACTGTCCTCGGTGCTACTCATTCCATAAGAGGGGTGTTTACTCCTCACTCTGCCACAGTCTGTGTTCCTAGGATCCATCAGTGCATTAGAAATTCCCGTCTTTTGATGCTTCTGACAACGATATCATGTCTCACACAGTCCCAACTCTCAATTGCCCAGGTGCTTAAGAATTTTAAGGATGGACGCTTAGTATTATCAGTGGGCATCAACTGGTTGTCAGCCCTCATCATCCACTTGTAACAGAAACACTTTCTGAAGTAGTTTTTGAAGGGCTTATTTACACACTGGCAATGTGCTGTGGGGCAGCTCAGTGTAAGAAGACAAATGTGCATCCATCCACAGGCCATCGGTGACTGCACTGCCACTGTTTAAGTTATGTGATGAACAGGATTATACCATATGATAATTAGGCGATAAAAGATTATAAATCAAATTTTGTACTAAATAGGATGTGATGATCTTGTGGTGGCAACAATTATGCAGTGACTCTGAAAAGTTATATTAAAAGTGGATATTATACAAAAATATTTACACTGCTCCAGTATTTACTTTTTTTCTAAAGCAGGAGGCTTAAAATATAAAAGTTTTATATTCTAAATATAACACAATATAAAACAAATATAAAAATATATGTATGCTTTTTAACCAAGCCATGATCATTAAATAAATCCCCAAATATAAAAACTATAAATAAAATATTAAAAGAACTCAATTCTCTTAATGTTAGAAAGGGGAATTCCCTGATGACAAATATTTGATATAGATTAGGATATCACTGGTTTCACATGCCAGTAGCAAATTGTGATGAAATAGAAAATACTCTTTTAAACAAAAATTCTTCCTGTTAACATGAAAAACAAACACAAACTGGGCTTTCTGAATCACAAAAATGCTGAAACAGAAAGACCAAGTGACAAAAAACCAAAGTGAAATGAATAAAAGATATACTTTGAGTTCTTTGGGACCACACCCAGAAATGCTTAGGGGAGCCTGCAGGCGTGCTGGGGATCAGAACTGCAGCTCCCACATGCAAAGCACATGTCCAGCCATTTCCTGGCCTGGGTTTTCCCTTTACACAGCGATGCTTAGTCTGGGCAAATCCTGCACAGGGATATTTTTTGTGGCATCCAGATGGTTGTACTCCTGTATGAGTGTTGATAAAGATGACACAGCTTCTGTGAAACAGCTTTCCTCCATCCCTTCGACTTGTAGGTAGTGATGAAGATGAGCCTATATATTAACAAAATGGACAACATTTACCATCTCAGGAAACTTCATACTACAGAAGTATTCCTACATTCTTCATATTGTAGAATGTAGGAAACTATTCTAGAATGTGAATAGATATTCTGATTACAATGACAGTTTACTCAGATTTAAAAATGAAATGAGAGCTGGGTAAAACTGAGCAGTTCACCTAAATTTTATAAACTCATGAGATTTCTCATTTAGAGCAACTGGGTACTTCATTAAGCCTCTTCTCTTAATCAGTACAATAAATAAAGTAGACAGGATAATCCCTGATTTGGAAGAGTGGAGAGGCATCTTCAACAGTCAAAACAAACATGTATTTACAAAAATGAATGGATAATGACCTTTTTCTTGTAGAGTCTCATGAATCTGTCTCTCAGTTCCACAAAGGTAGGCTTCACACACGTGTTATTTGCTAAAGCTAATAATGAATGAGAATGGCCCACAGGTGGTACTGAACACAGGCTAGTCTTCCAGCCTTCTTGATTCCAGGATACAAACTGTAGTGAAGGTTTCAATCTGAAATGCAAATTCTGGGAGGTAAGAACTAAGACACTGAAACTGTCTGCTGTATTATTGTAGTCTACACAGAAAATGGTCACATTACTGATGGCACCATTCTAATTATCTATATTACTATTTACTTTTGGTTTACTTATAAGACTATAGCATTTGCAGAGCACCTTTATACCTCTTTAGGCTTTAAATATAGTATACAGGTGTATATAAAGGCATAGGATTGTACACTTAAAAAATGTGAAGAGGCATTCCGGAAATTTACAACAGTGCAATTGTTTAGCTTATAATTATAGATTTTTATACACTTATAGCAGCATTATGGTATAGTCTGATAGTGAACTAAGGTACATTTAATTAGGGAACATTCGATTGGCTATGATGGTGATTTACAAAGCTAGAAATGCATTCTCTAAGATTAGAAATAGCACTGTTCTCCCATTATTCATCGATTTGCTCGAGCAGACCCAGTAATGTCTTCATTATGAGACCTGTTACTGTGTTTGGCATATCGAATACGTCACAGGTAGCTTGCCAGGCTTTGCTGTGCGGGTGAGATACTCTCAACAGCTTACTGGGCTCTCCAAGAGGGGCGGAGGAATTGAATGCAGGTCGGCCACGTGCAAGGCAAACGCCCTACCCGCTGTGCTATCGCTCCAGCCCAAGATCAGAAATATTGAGATAAAATGAAATGAAAGTATTACAATTTTGCTTACTTAACAGTTCAGTAAAATTAAATTTAGAAACCGTGCAGCTGGAGTATTGGTGGTAAGTTAAATTTTCTGAATACTTTCAGAAAATGAAACATCTCATTTCATTTGTGCTCCTAGTAACAATTTTGTACTACTATTATTTTATACCTGAGAAAAATAAGCCTCAGAGAGGAGATGCAGCCTACTCAAGCCACACCTTAGTTAAGTGGCAATACCTTAATATGTTACTCTGTCCCAAGCAATACATGTAAACAATTATCTTGAAAAATATAAAATCAAACCTTTCAATATTTCTGCGAAGATCTGAAATCTGTACATTTCCTCTCACCATGAGGGCACAGGCAAGGTATAGGCTATGTTTGGGGTCAGCTTGAATCAGTTGATGATCTTTACTAAATGCATCTGAAAACATCTGATCCAACCTAGAATGATGAGTCACATCATTCAAAAATACAAAATACTACACATTTCTTTTTATGTGTAACTATAAAAGAAATATACAAAATACTATACATTTCTTTTATGTGTAACTATAAAATGAAAAGATAGTCATCTACAAGTAAATAAAAACCAACAAATTCTAGTCTCAGCCAACATTTTCTCAAACCACCTTCATAAATATTTGGAGAGAAAATCATTTATTATTTTTTTGGAGTGAAAAACTGCTGCAGGATACTGTTGCTGACTACAATTTTTTTTTTCTTTTTGGCAATGCACAGGGGTTACTCTTGGCTTTGCACTCAGGAATTACTCCTGGCGGTGCGCAGGGAACCATATGGGATGCTGAGAATCAAACCCGGGTCAGCCGTGTGCAAGGCAAATGCCCTGCCTGCTATACTATTGCTTCAGCCCCTGACTACGGAATTAATGAGCTTTATGTAGTATATTTTTCATTTCTGAAAAATGAAGTCATTATTACTTCAGTATGTTCATCTACTTCATAATGTTAGTGCTACCAAAACCTACATTAAGAGAACTAAACACAAAATTAAAAACCTACAGAAAGAGTCGTTGGTCTCTGGAAAACATATCCTAAATTAAACACAATTAAGAGAAAACTGTCAGAGGGCAAAGTTAAGCTCTGCCATAAAAGATGAAACTCTGTAGCAGTATTCCTGAAAAGAGAAACTTATATAACTAAATGAAGTTTTTTTCCCTTGCTTCCTTCTTTCTTTTTGGTCCTTTTTTTGGGGGGGGGGGAAGGGGAAGTGGGGGGGCTGGGTCTGTGCTCAATGCTCAAGGACTTATTCCTGGCCTGTGCTCAGGGATCACACCTGGCAGGGTTTGGGAAACTACATGTCGTACTGGGACTTGAACTGGTAAGGCCACATGCAAGGCAAGCACCCTATCCCCTGTACTATCACTCCTGCCCCTCATTTCATTCTTCTTATCCTCCAATTATAGATACAGGTGAATGACAAATGACACACTGCACACAGCCTCTGAGAGCCGCACTCTGGCTCTGTGCTGAGATTCTTGGCGGAGCAGCAGAGACTATCTCTGCACCTACTTACTCAACAGGTATCTGCGCCATCTGCTCTGAGCCAGGCACTATTCTAAGTACAAAAGATCAAGTGAACAACATTTCTTGGACTGCTGGAGCTTATTTTCTGTCCTAATTATCCTACATCAAGAGGAATCCCTAGGGGAAACATGAGCTTTGAAATTTTCTTGAATCCTCTGTTATTTTGTTCAAACTTTTTAGTGTGACTGTGATGTGGGGCATTTCTGAGGAACCGAAAAAGAAAATTAGAAATCATTATTTACAAGTAGGCAAATGCATTTTTTTGGGGGGGGGGGGGGTCACACCTGGCAATGCACAGGGGTTACTCCTGGCTCTGCACTCAGGAATTACCCCTAGCGGTGCTCAGGAGACCACATGGGATGCTGGGAATCGAACCCGGGTCAGCCGCGTGCAAGGCAAGTGCCCTACCCACTGTACTATTGCTCCAGCCCCGGCAAATGCATTCTTGTTTAGCTTTTATCTCATAAAATATAATATATATATAATTATCAGAATAATTCACATTAAAAATGCTGAATTTCCAGGAACACACTCATAATAATATACTTCCCCCCCTCTTGATAACAATGAACACTTACTGACATTAATATCAACCATCACCAATACCATTCTCATTTGTCACAATGAACTTGCAATGAGTGATTTACCAAGTTTACAGGCACTATGCTAGCTGCTTAACTGGTGTATCTCTTACAGAGAAAAAAGCAGGTGACATTAAATGGTTAGCTGCAACTGACTCTAATGAAAATTTATCAACAGCATTGTAACATTCCTGTAGCACACATTTATTTGACCAAAACTTAAATTATAAAAAGCAATATTTAATTTCGTATTTGCTTTCTCAATTATTTCTTTACAGAGCGTGATAGAACTTTCCCATAAGTCAACTGTAAACGTCAGTGTGATTTTTTCCCCAGCTTATGCTCAACGAACATGATTAACTGTAGCACTGTGCTCCTGTTGCATAGATTTTCTCGAGTGGGGCCAGTAACGTCTCCATTGTGAGACTTGTTACTGTGTTTGGCATATGGAATACGTCATGGGTAGCTTGCCAGGCTTTGCCGTGCGGGCGAAATTCTCTTGGTAGCTTGCTGGGCTCTCTGAGAGGGGCGGATGAATCGAACCCGGCTCAGCCGTGACGGCTGCACGCAAGGCAAATGCCCTACCACTGTGCTATTGCTCTAGCTCCATAACATATCTTGTTATGTAAACTGATGTCAGATTTTATTTAAAAATGACATTACGGAGCCAGAGAGATAGTACAGCAGGTAGGGTGCCTGCCATTCACACAATCAACCTGGGTTCAGTCTCTGGCACCCCATATGGTCCCCCAAGCCCACCTGAGTGCAGAGCCAGGAGTTTTCCCTTAGCACCACCCAGGTGTGGACTCCAAACCGGAAATAACCCCCCCCAACCCCCCAAAAGCTATTTTACAGACAGAGGTCAGAGAGACTGAACAGAAGTTAAGGTGCTTGCCTTGCACAAGGCTGACATACTCTGGTTTGTTCCAGATACCAGTATATGGTAGCTCAAGCACAAACAGAAGTGATCCCTGAGCACAAAGTCAGGAGTATGCCTTGAGCACCATCTGGTATAGCTTCCTTTCCCAAACACATTGCAAAACAACATATTTTGGAAATAACGTAATTAGTCATCACACAGAATAACAATACGGAAGCCCTTTATGGTGATGGTAAGGGTTCTAAAACATTCTTAATTAATATAACCAAGATGAAGATGTGTTATGTACTCTTATCTTTATAAAGGAGAAAGAATGTAAGAGGAAATGTTTAAGTTGCATAATTAAGGTCCTATAGCTAGTGATTAATTACTAGGTTCAGACTTAAAGCTCTTAAAATGTTTTCCAACAAAAATTTTATCTATAGTAATTTTCATAACTAAAACCAATTATCAGACTTAATTCCAAACAGTTTAAAATTAAATTAAATAATAATGCAGTCATATAATGGAAAATGGCTGCAATCAATTCCCAAAGGAAAGATAAAAAAAACTTTTAAAAATTAAAGAAGATTGGTTAGAGAAACAGTACAGGGGCCAGGGTGCTTGCTTTGCACATAGTTGACCCCAGTTTAATCCTCAGCATTACACATGGTCCAAGAGGAATCCCAGGAGTGGGATTCAGTGAACAGAGTCAGGAGTAAACCTTAAGCACAGGTGGGTGTGGCCCCAAATTAAAAACACGCGCACACGCACATATATGTGTGTGTATATACATATATATCTATATATCTTTATAAAGATAATTCAAATTCTTGAAAAACTGGAATAAAGTGAAGATAACTTACCTTCGAGGAGGAATGTGGACATCTGCCAGTGTATATAAAGGTGTAAGGCTGGACACAAGATAATGTAGTTGAGGAAAAGGAACTAAATTCATGCTGATTTCATTGAGGTCCATATTAAGGGACCCTTCAAATCTTGCAGAGCTAAAAAAAAAATAACATTCAAACATGAGAAAAACTAATTTTAAAACATTCCTTTGCAGCTTCATTTATTCAGCAGACATTTCTTCACATGCTACTTCATATGGAGAATGCAGAGTGTTTTTTTTCATTATCAGTGAAATTTAGTGGCTCAAATTTAGTGTATGCTAGTTTTTATTTTCAGTGAAATGCCACATAAAGATTTCAATCAGATTATCTGACTTCTAACACATTAGTACAATCAATTATTTCATAAAAGTGTCTTACTTAAGGGCCAGGAGGTAGTTTAGGCATTAGAGTACCACACAGCTGCCCATTTACTGGATGCATCACTGGAAACTCCAAGAAGTTCTAGGGATGGCCTGAGAGCCCTCCCTGCCTGCACCAGCACCATCAGACTGCAGGGCCTAAGCAACCCCTGCCCCGCCCACTGAACTACTGGCTTTGGTTCCCTTGTTGACTGAGTATTGCGAGGGGAGGCCTATGACCAAAAGTCAAATAAAATATCTTACTTAAACAGTACATTGAGTTAAATGATGAGCACAAAAATTTATTTAGTAAGCAACATTTCTCAAGGATCTGCTTAATGAGAAATTGTACAGTATAATTTAAAATACAAAAATTATAATTAGAAATACAAAATGCCAAATAGCAGTCAACTTTTAGAAAAGAAGTTGGGAGTCATGTTTTCTGCCAAGGGCCATTTAAATATTTACAACATCATTTACAGACTATAAAATACAGGCAGATGGGCTGTGGGCAACTGACAAGCAGCATTCGTGACTGTGCCATCAAGTACCAAGCCTTAAATGGCTGCAGGCCAGACATTTGCCATCCCTACTTTAGAGCAAAGTCAAAGAAATATTCAGGACCACAGGTACAGATTAGATTGTTTAAAAGATTGACACTCTGTAGCAAACAGAATACATTTACTTTTCTGTTTATATATTTACAAAAGCTTTTATCATTTAACATCCATTAGCATTTCATTAAGATTCTCTTACGTTCTTGGGGAAATGATACTTTGCAGTCATATAAATTTACTTATATAATAAATTTATACTCATAATATACTGAGTAAGCAAATAGATGAATTAACTAAAACAAAAGTAAATTTATTTTGGGGGCCAACCCCGGCAGTTTTCATGGCATACTCCTGGCTCTGCACTCAGGGAACACTCCTGGTGGTGCTTGGGGGACTATATAGGGTGCTAGGCATCAAACCCAGGTTTGCCACATAACGCAAGACAAGCGCTCTGCCCACTGTACTATCTCTCTGGCCCTGGAAGGAATTATGTGGCTGTACTGATGCAGCTGCAGCTGCATTTCTTTTAGTTATTATTTTGCTTTTTTGGCTATACCCAGAGGTGCTCAGAGCTTATTTCTGTCTCTGCTCTCAGGGATCACTCCTGGTGAGACTGGAAAAACCACATATGCTTTTTTGATTGAACCCATGTTGGCTGCATGGAAGGCAAGTGCCTTACTTGATGGACTATCTCTCTAGTGTCCCCAAATCAACTTATAGACTAGAAAACCAATTAGAGGCTAGCAGAAGGAAAGGAGGAAGGGAAGGGGCAAACCAGTATAATGGATCAACTGTACGGTGAAGGTTAGAAGAGACAAATAGAATTAACTGATGAATGGAAGGTGGTACTATATACTCATTAATTTTTAATGGTGCAAATGTGAAACACGTAATGTTTCAATTAAAATTACTTCAATTAAAAAGTGAAGAAAATTCTGTACTATAAACCCCAAGGTTTGCAAACCCAAGTCAATGTTAAAAGGAAAAAATAAGTTGCTACAACTTGCTAACAAAAATGGCACTACAAAAATGAGGATGCAAAACAGGGAAGTTTTCCAATAGTCCTTAGGTGTATTATGAATAGCATTACCTGGTTAAGTTGAGCAGCAAATTGGCCACAATGTTGTTCATTGCATCGAAAGGCTTCTCCTGCTGCTTTTTTAAAGCTCTAGCTCCTGAAGTAACCAAACTGTTTGGCTTTATAGTTGTACGGGATTTCCCAGAATTCACCACGAGGTCAATTTTGCTAATGATGTCAATTAAGGACTTTAAAGGGAAAAATATTGGAAGAGAGGTTATTAAGATGAGTGGACACAGATGACATACTACTAAGAAGGAAAGAAGAGAAGAAAAACAGGTGAAATTTATTTTTATCTTAAATAAGAAGACTTTTTGAAGTGAATATTTTACATGAACAAAGAAGCAAACCCAGGACTGAATGTGTACACATCACAATGTCCTTTCTTACTTGGTTGTCGATGGGCAACACACAGTCCGCATGCTCATTAAGCTCCTTCATTGCCAACATGCTATTGTACGGTGAGGTAATGACATCATCCTCACCAGAAGGATAAACTGAAGTCACAAATCTGTATACCTCTGGGAATTCATCTTCGAGCACCTTTAAAAGAAATGTGCCTAGTCCAGATCCTGTTCCTGAGGATTAAAATTTCAAAAATAAAATGGTGTAAGTGATTCAAAACCATATGATTATGAGGAACTTAGGCTTTAACCTTTAGTTATTTTAAATAATTTTCAACTTATAATTATGTATTAATTAACTAGCTAAATTTTGAGTAAAGAAATGGAGATAATATGGACAGTGAGTTTTAAAGATCTGTATATAAGCTCTAGCTTTGATTATGAGACTGGGAAGGCTTTCTATAGTTTTTTTTTTTATATCTAGGTAATTGTGTGATGCCAAAACAACCTGATTAAGAGAATACAAATGAGATGTTAAGTACAATAAAAATTATCTTGACCTGTCTGATGATGTGTGCGCACACACACACACTTTTTTGGGGGGGGTGGGTGGGTATATATCTTGTGTGCTCAGGGTTTACTCCTGGTTCTACACTCAGAGGATCAGCCCTGGGTTGGCTACACGTGAGGCAAGCTCCTTATTCATTTCACATTGCTACGAAAGAGTGAATGACTTACCTCCTCCCATGGAATGTATTATAAAAAAACACTGTAAACAATCACAATGCTCTGCTGCTTTTCTGAGCTTCTCTATAATCTGTTCTTGATAACGACTGCCAAAAACTTTGTGACCCACAGCCCTGAAAAAAAGAAAGTGTCGTGTCTGTTATATATTTGTATTGCTAGATTATTCCTAATCTAAATTTTAAAATAATTAAAAAAATTTTACTTTACTAAGCAAATTTAATTTTCATATCAATACAGCATATTAAGATTCCTTCAAGGATCTGTACTGCAGGTAAATTTTTTTCCAAGTCTTTATTTATAATTCTCAAATATCCCAATAGCTCATTGCCAATGGAAAATAGTTTTTGAAATTTACATAGCAAAGTAACATTTTAGTTAAATCATTTTTTCCTTTCTTCAGTTAAAATAAACTCAATAAAAAATTAGAAACCAGAGAGATAGTATAGCAGATAGGGCACTTGCCTTGCATACAGTGAACCCGGGTTTAATCCCTGGCACCTTATATGATCCTTCATGTCTGCTAGTAGCTATCCATCAATGCAGAGCCAAGAGGAAGCCCTGAGCACTGCTGGGTGTGGCCCCCAAATAAAAATCTATTAATTAATTAAACCTAAATGTAGAACATCAAAGAACAAGGATAAAGCTGAGAAGTGGAACACAGATCTACCATTCAAGGCCCTGGGTTTAATACCTGGCATTATCTACCCTCCCAAAATATCAGAATGTCAAATAGAAAGGCAATTAAAAAAATAGATTTGCTTTAAATATGAGAATAGGGAGGAAACTGATACTCAAAGGCAAGCTTTTTTGACTGCTAAAATTGTCTAAGTACCACTATGATGAATTTTGCCTCCTTCTGTAAAAATTACACAACAGGGATACAACATCAGTTTGGCCATTAGGGGGCTCATTTAGTGATTGATTCTCCTCAAATGATATCTCCTAGTACACAGGACTTAAATTCATGCTTTATTAAAAGTATGTGTAACTGCATATTATGAATCTGGGCTATAAAAAAGGAAGAATAATGTTGAATTTTCAAATAACAAGGACCCATTTAACCCCGAAAAAGACCAATAAAAATGTGCATCACTGTATCATTTTTATTAAATATTACCAACAGGAGATGCTTGTTGTCCAGTAATATAGCTCAGAGAATTGTTTATAAAAAACAAGTTTGTCACTAGTGACAAGGTGACAGACTCAACAAAAAGAAGTATTCCAAATACATTTTTTATGATTTATCTTTTTCTTTAAAAACAACAAAAATGGGTATGGAAAGCATCTGGGAGTTAGCTCAAGTGGTAGAACACTTATCTATCATATGCAAGGCCCTGAATTAGATCAGATTTTTTAAAAAGGAACTAGGATCAAGGGGTTTCCAAGCATTGTGAAAAGCTATGCTTTATCAAGTAAAAGACTTTTAACTTTTATCTGAATTCTTTATGAAGTAAAATCTGTCTTATCAAGCAACTAAAAGTCAGACGTGGCAAGTTACATCTTGCTTTTATGTGGCCAAGGCCTATTAGAGTGAAAGAAAACATTTATTTCCAGATGATGCCACAGCACAGCGGCAGGGTGTTTGCCTTGCAAGCTGCAGGCCTGGCCGAGCCAGGTTTGATTCCTCCGCCCCCTCAGAAAGCCCGGCAAGCTACCGAGAGTATTTTGCCTGCACGGCAAAGCCTGGCAAGCTACCTGTGACGTATTCGATATGCCAAACACAGTAATAACAAGTCTCACAATGGAGACGTTACTGGGCCTGCTCGAGCAAATCGATGAACAATGCGAGGACAGTGCAGTGCAGATGTTCAATATTTTGTTTTTCTTTGGGGCCACAAGCAAGTGTGCCGAGGGCTTACTCCTGGCTCTGCTGCACTCGGGGACTACTCTTGGCATACTCAGGGGACAAAATAGGGTGGCAGGCATAGAATCCAGATACATCACGTGCAAGGTACCCAATCTGCTACACATCACTCTGGCCCGATCTTGAATTTTTATGTTCAGCATATTCTCACCAATTATTCCCTGAGCCAGAAATATCAGTGATGAGCTGCTTGCTATCAAATACATCTCTTAATGGACCTTGCAGAATCTCATTTACTACCCCTTCTTCCATATCAATCAAGACAGCCTGAGAAAGAGAAAAGTTCATTAGTATGTTTTAGTTAATAACTCTCTGAAAGGCATTTAAAAGCCAACAGTTGCACTGTTATTTTTAATTTATTTTATAGGTTAATCAAATCTTTCTTTGTGGAATCTGTTCTAAGGAATTAAGAAAAAAACTGTACTATACACAAGAGGTACAATCCAATTAAAAACAGACTCTAAATTCTTTCATCCTATATCAAAATGCCAAATGGGGGAAGAAAAGGAATGGAATAATCCCCCATCAGATAATTTTTTTACAATGCTTTTCTCCCCCATGTGTCTGCATGCATATGACTAAATTTTCTGAAGAATAATGTCTCAGAAATCTGTAAGACAGGTACTCTTAAAGCAAACAAAAAATTCTCAACAAATGTAGGTACATTAATGCATTTGCTCACTTGGAATAAACATGTTCCTTGAAGAACCACAGTTAAAAATGTACCCTTCAAATCAATATATTCTGGGAAGAATTAAGGTACTATCTATCTATCTACATATATATATGTATATATATATGTCAATGAAGCATAATAGGGTTTCATAAGGCCAAGAAATATACAGTAAGTATAATGGATAAAGGAAATAACCTTTACTACTACAAATAAGAATATAAAATTCACTAGAGAAACAAAAAGTTAAAAAAAAAACTAGAAAATACAGCAAAATATAAGCAAGAGTAGATTAGCAGTAGGATCATATATACTCCAACTTGTTTCTACTTTTTCCTCCTAATTTTCTATGGTAGTGTGAAAAAAGACAATCAGTGTACCAAAAAAGCAAAGCTGAAAAAGTATTTTGAAATAACCATAGGGTAGACTACAAAGCTATTTATCCAGAGTATGTACTTGGTTAATAGGCTTTTTTCTGTTCCTCCTACCACATAATGTTCTGTACTTACTGCATGCCACTATTAGAAGTGCATCTAAATATCACTTTATTTAATCCCCTTTTTGTTTTTCAGGGGGGGGGGGCACACTGGTGCTGCTTAGGGCTAATTCTTGGCTCTGTAATCACTCCTGGCAGGGCTCGGCGGTCCATATGTGGTGTTGGTTACCGAACCCAGGTCGGAAACATGTAAGGCAAATGCCCTATCAGCTCTACTGTCCCATCAGACCCCCAATCCCCATAGTCTTATGGATAGGTACTAAGCTCACCCCCAACTTTCCCAACTCCATGTCAGTAGCCTGGAACTCAGAAAAGTTAAATAACTTGGTTGTGATTACTGAGCTAGGAAGTGATTGGAACTGAGATTTAACCCTGGTTAGCCTGGCTGCAGATTTTTCCTCCAAACCACCAAGCTCTAGGCCCTTCCATCTTGTAGAAGGAAAATAGGAAAGTCTGATAAATGACTACTGACTACAGCGAGTTAAAATTGTGCATCTGCACAATTCTGTGAATTCAATGATTTGTGTAGTTAACTATTTTAATTGCTAACTATTGTAAGCTAGTGATTAAAAATCTATTACACAGGTGTTCATTCCTCAGGAATGTTCATACCCATATTTTGGGTGTACACTTTTGCCTTAGTAAATTCCTTTTAAAAATTTCAGTGTATAAGAGATATTTCTAACTGTATAATAATAAAGTATTAATAGAAGCATTTTATATACAGTGTACTATAATAGCATATTGATAGTATAATAGACAGTGATGGTATGCTTATTAATGTATTTGACAGTATGTTAAACCGTAAAATTATGTCTACAAATTATTTTTACAAATGTGCAATCATTATATACACAAACATTGTACATACATTTGTACACATTAGACTATTTACTGGCAACTTAGGTATTTCCAAGGGAATTTATGGTAAAACGCAAGTTTTACCGTAAGTGCTCAAATTGAAAGTGATTTAAGGAATATCAACATCTTTTTCTCTAAGTTATTGGGGTGGTAGTTCTCTCCGTGACATGGAATCCACCATATATTAATCCATTATCCTAATCTGGTCTACAAAACATGAACTGTGCCCCAAGTTTTGTTTTCCAGGAACCTCAAAGATCAGATTCAGGAGGGTTTCCAGGTGTAACACTTCTCTCCACTCTTCCAGTAACTTAAAATTTGATCTGTCTTGGCTTAGTTACATCAATGGCTGCTAAACTGTCTTTTAAGTTTTTTGGTTTTTGGGCCACACCTGGAGATACTCAGGGGTTATTCTTGGCTCGGGACTCAGGAATGACTCCTGGCAGGTTCTGGGAACTATATGGGATGCTGGGGACCGAACCTGGGTCGGTTGCATGCAAGACAAGTGCCCTAACCTCTGTCCTATGGCTCCGGCCCCAAATTGCTCTCTTTTAAGTCAAAGATCAACAATTACAAAAAAGCAATTTTTGTAGAAGCAGTCACAGAAAGAAATGTTGTTGGAATACAACTTGGGTTTAAAAGGAATATTCACTCTACTGTGACTGGATCCATGTTTTGTATGGTGACTAATAACCCTCATGTAAATAAATTTTCCATTGTCTTTGAGAGATAAGCTGTTCTAGAGTATTTTTTAGGTCTTTATAGAAAGCCTTTAATATTGATCTGATGTACTTTTCTAAACAGGTAGGAAAAAAAACATATGCACTGTTTTTACTTTAAGCACAAAATTCCCTAAAGTTTCAGCTAGACACAAATGTCTACATATATTAAATGTGGCTTAGTACCTTTTGAAGATATTAAGTTAAAATTTAAAAGTTTTGTTTTCATGATAGTTATAGAAGTGTGTTTTAACAACACACACAATATAAGAATTCAGTATATATATCTTACTCGTGCTTTTAAAGAACGAATTTTCCCCCTGGAAATACTGCCACCATCACCAATCACCCTGAATGAAAAAAAAAAAAAGTGAGAGAAGTGGTAATCAGAACCAGTTATTATATCAGACAATAAAGCTTTGTTCCATTTACAAAATGAAGCTTCTTGTAGATCAGATACAGACATAAAAGACCACCTAAGAAGGTCTCCACTCTTACTTCCTTGTCAAGAGCTAGTATGTAATATAGTCCTGATTATGAGACCAAAAGGAGGTATTCTGTGAAATTCTTCATTCTGTGTGAGTATCCGGGATCCAATATGCAAGTGCTCAACTCCCAAGATATATCAGAGGTCTCTAGGAAGCTTTTCTGGTGATAGGAACCAGATAGAATCAGTACTTATTTTTTCAATTTACCTTAAAGGTCAGAGAAATTGGAAACGGACAATGCAATAGGGATAGGTAAACATAGGTCCTTGGGCCTAATCTACCTAGTTGCTTGCTTTCATGAGAAAAGTTTTATTTGAACACTTTCAGGCCCATTTATTTGTATATTATTTATAATGGAAATGTCAAGTACCTAGACCAGGGTGTATACGGTAACGGTCCTCCCATTGTTCATCGATTTTCTCGAGCGGGCCCAGTAACGTCTCTGTTGTGGGACTTTGTTGTTACTGTGTTTGGCATATCGAATACGTCAAGGGGAGCTTGCCAGGCTCTGCCGTGCGGGCGAGATACTCTCGGTAGCTTGCTGGGCTCTCCGAGAGGGGTGGAGGAATCGAACTTGAGTTGGCCATGTTGGCTGCGTGCAAGGCAAACGCCCTACCACTGTGCTATCGCTCCAGCCCCAGGGTGTGTAAAATTGGAAAAATTACTTGGTCCTTTATAAGAAAGGTTTACCAACCTCTCTGTAGATAAATTTATGTAATTTATGTAATTTTTCCCCTTGATTTGGGGGTCATGCCCAGTGATACTCAGGGGTTACTTCTGGCTCTGCACTCAAGAATTACTCCTGGTGTGCTAGGAGGACCATATGGAATGCCAGAGATGAGCTTAGAGGGTGGAAAACAGGGCCACACTCAAGTATTATGGGAACATGAGGTATTTGCAATCAAACTTGGGGACCCCTCACGCAAAGCACACACTCTGGCCCTTGAGCCATCTTCCCAACCCAACATGATTTTGCTTTAGAATAAGTATTTTTTACATGGGAGCCTTGTGGACAGCAGGTATGAGCCGGGGGTGTGGGGGCGACTAAAACCACATGGGAAGGGGGGCGTTCCGGTCCGTCCTTCACGCCCTACCGAGGTCACCAGTCACCCCCCCACGAGCGGCTCTCCAGCACAGCCACGGCCCCAGAAGCACAAGGACTTAATGCAGAACCCAGCAGCTTGGAGCAGAAAAGTGAATGGACTATGCGTTGATCCAGGCCATCAAGTCTGCCGGAGGGGAAAGGGTGTTGCCCCATTCGCCCTCTCCTCTCTGGAAAGAAAGATGGCGGCCACATGGGAGCCTTGTGGACAGCAGGTATGAGCCGGGAGTGTGGGGGCGACTAAAACCTCATGGGAAGGGGGGCGTTCCGGTCCGTCCTTCACGCCCTACCGAGGTCACCAGTTGCCCCCCACGAGCGGCTCTCCAGCTCGGCCACAGCCCCAGAAGCACAAGGGCTTAATGCAGAACCCAGCAGCTTGGAGCAGAAAAGTGAAAGGACTATGCGTTAATCCAGGCAATCATTTCTGCCCAGAGGGGAAAGGGTGTTGCTCCCTTCCGCCCTCCTCCCTCTGGAAAGAAAGATGGCGGCCACATGGGAGCCTTGTGGACAGCAGGTATGAGCTGGGGGTGTGGGGGCGACTAAAACCTCATGGGAAGGGGGGCGTTCCGGTCCATCCTTCACGCCCTACCGAGGTCACCAGTTGCCCCCCACGAGCGGCTCTCCAGCACAGCCACGGCCCCAGAAGCACAAGGACTTAATGCAGAACCCAGCAGCTTAGAGCAGAAAAGTGAACGGACTATGCATTGATCCAGGCCATCAAGTCTGCCGGAGGGGAAAGGGTGTTGCCCCATTCGCCCTCTCCTCTCTGGAAAGAAAGATGGCGGCCACATGGGAGCCTTGTGGACAGCAGGTATGAGCCGGGAGTGTGGGGGCGACTAAAACCTCATGGGAAGGGGGGCGTTCCGGTCCGTCCTTCACGCCCTACCGAGGTCACCAGTTGCCCCCCACGAGCGGCTCTCCAGCACGGCCACAGCCCCAGAAGCACAATGACCTAATGCAGAACCCAGCAGCTTAGAGCAGAAAAGTGAAAGGACTATGCGTTAATCCAGGCAATCATTTCTGCCCAGAGGGGAAAGGGTGTTGCTCCCTTCCGCCCTCCTCCCTCTGGAAAGAAAGATGGCGGCCACATGGGAGCCTTGTGGACAGCAGGTATGAGCCGGGGGAGTGGGGGCGACTAAAACCTCATGGGTCGGGGGGCGCTCCGGTCCGTCCTTCACGCCCTACCGAGGTCACCAGTCGCCCCCCGCGAGCAGCTCTCCAGCACGGCCATGGCCCCAGAAGCACAAGGACTTAATGCAGAACCCAGCAGCTTGGAGCAGAAAAGTGAATGGATTATGCGTTGATCCAGCCCATGAAGTCTGCCGGAGGGGAAAGGATGTTGCCCCATTCGCCCTCTCCTCTCTGGAAAGAAAGATGGCGGCCACATGGGAGCCTTGTGGACAGCAGGTATGAGCTGGGAGTATGGGGGCGACTAAAACCTCATGGGAAGGGGGGCGTTTCGCTCCGCCCTTCACGCCCTACCGAGGCCACCGGTTGCCCCCCGCGAGCGGCTCTCCAGCACGGCCACGACTCCAGAACACAGAAACCAATTTCTTAACTATCTGACTTTCAGTAGAAATACTTCCAGGGTCAATAGGTAAAATAGCAGAAATCCAAAACCAACATTTAATTCTTGAACCCAGCTGTAGAAAGCAAATCACTTCACAATGCTTTTTCAGCATGTCTGATTTGGGGGGGGGGGGGGGGGATAAACTCTAAATAATAGTGGTGAATCTTTTATTGAAACAATGAATCTAATCAAAGCAGACAGAGTGTTAACTAGAATTCATCTGCCTCACAGGGACGGGGAGGGGTGGGGGGTGGGGTTTTATTGGGGTTCTTCATGGTAAAAAATAAGTATTGGTAAAGGGAAATGTGTTTGATATTTGCATGACTGAGACATAAACCTGAAAGCTTTGTAACCTTTCCCACAGTGATTCAATAAAAAAAAAAAAAAAAAGAATAAGTATTTTTTGGTATTGATTTTAGAAACAGAAGCTGATAGAATACAGAAAGAGGAGTTAAGATGCCAAGCTCCTTCTCCCTCTTCCTGCAAACCTGACATTGGGGAAATATGAAAATGCTCTCAGAATCTGGAGCATAGTACAACTCCTAGGGCGCTTTCACTTGCCCATGACCAACCCAGGTTAAATCCTTAGCACCCCAAGTAATTCCCCAGCCCCACCAGGAATGACCCCTGAGTCTAGAGCCAGAAGTAAGCCCTGAGTACTGCTGGTTGTGCATCCTGCCCTCCAGTAAGAAAACCTTTTCTGCTATGCCAGAATACTATATAAGTATTAAATGAGAATAATGATAGTAATAATTTTAATAACGAGGAAAACAAAGGCAGACAACTTTTCCAGTTATCAAATGCTTTCACTGTCCTTTAAGAATTCTCATCTCTGTTAACATGAAAAGAATCATTTCATTGTCTGAGACTTTAGTCCCCTCTTACCTGGTATCCACATTCCTAAAGAAGCTGCTTATTGCCTCATCATAAATTCCTTTCTAAGAAAGAGAAGAACATAGTACTTGATTAAGTTCTCTCTCTTTTCCAAGTGAAGTTCTTTCCATTTAATAACCTCATACTATGATGGCTAGGAAGTGTTAAAAAAAAAGAGCAAATTATAATAAAATGCTTAAACTGATTCTTCAATTTCTAAAGAATACAAAATGTCTTGAAATCTACAGATTAAGTTCATTAAAGGGTTAAGTAAGGAATTCCCAATAAAATGTAGAACAGATGTATCAAATGAGACTTTTGTTTGGAATTTTGGAGATCAGTTTAGCCGAGTGGTTAAATTAAGAATACCACACTTGGGGCCTGAGCGACAGTACAGCGGGCAGGGCGTTTGCCTTGCACACGCCCGATTTGGGTTCGGACCCGGCATCCCATATGCTCCCCCGAGCACCGCCAGGAGTGATTCCTAAGTGCAGAGCCAGGACTAAGCCCTGAGCATCGCCGGTGTGACCCAAAAAAACAAACAAACAAAAAAACCCCAAAAAACAAAAACGCAAACAAACAAAACCCCACACCTGTTTTAAAAAGTGCTTTCAGATATATTGTTACAATGTGTTATATTGTTACAATGCGTTTCACAAGTATCACATCAAGAGGAAGCCGTGAGAACAGGTGAAGGGGATTTCTTGGGCCGGGTATTGAATTCGTGTGTCTAATCTCAACATACTTTTTCCTGTTGTGGGTTTGGTCTCTTTTTTGTTTGGGGGCCACACCCTGCGGTGCTCAGGGCTTTCTCCTGGCTCTGCGCTCACGAACTGCTGGCGGTGCTGAGGAGGGTACCAGGCGGGGTGCAGAGGATCAAATCCCGGTGTGCTGTACGCAAGGCCAACGCCCCACCCCCGCCCCCCAACAAAGCCAGCGTGTTGTTTCCTGAATATATCTCACACAACGGAGATGAGTCTGCGGCTGGTTCGGGTGGGGGCCTGACTGTGGCGCCTGCAGGGGTGCGGGGCCAGGCCGGGGCACGGGGCGGCGGGTACCTGGTTGACCGCGGCGTGCTCGCGCAGCACCAGGTCCCAGAAGCAGCAGCCGATCTGGTTTCCGCACTGGCCGACTGCGAGCGGGGAACGGAAGGAAAGAGAACAGGCGTGAGGAAGAAAGCATGGCCACGCGGGTCCGCCTGCTCCCCGCGGGCATCACCTTGCACGACCACGGACTGCGTCATCCCGCTCCGCGCCGGGCCCCCGACGTCCGCAGGCCCCGCGCCGTACTTCGAATCCCCCGCCGCCAACCAACTGTGCTCGCGGCGGGCGGGCTGGGCTGCCGTAAGTCGCGCGGCTGCCGCAAGTCGCAGCCGTCGCAAAGCAGGTCTTCAGCCCGAGGTTTTCCGCTAGCGTCTCACTGTCACCATAGCGACTGGGCCTCTGGACCGAAGATCCTCGCTGCCTTGTCAACATCTTTGAGCATCGGCAGCACCAGAGGCCGGGGTAACTGGAGGGAAACTAGGCTTGGGAGTGGGATTCTGAATCTTGGGTCTTTAAAACGGCTCACGGGTGGTTTTTGTTTTGTCTCAGTACTCTAGGCGGTCGCCAAAGCCCTTCTTTTCAGATTCTTTCGGATGCTGCGCGAGTATCTCTCTCCAAACACGTTAGTCATTAAAGCAAAATTCAGGCTATTTGGTAGGTGACACACAACTCCGATGGTATATACCTCCTCAAAGTGAAACACACAGAAAAGAAAATGACTTTCAACCCTCCGTTATGTGAGAAAAGTCATGATAAGTAGTAGTCAAGAACTTGCCCTGTAGATAAGAATGTTTTGAATTCTCTCTCTCTGCATATTTTCTCTGCAGTAACTTCTAGCAAAATAGGCATTGAATAGGCATGGAAAAGATGAATAAAATCTTTGCCCCATTGAATGTCTACATATATCAAAACAATGATCTCACATATGAGACAAGCAGGAATTTTAACTGTGCTTAAATGCTGTACTTGCCTCTTGAACTTCTTTTTTTACTTTTTCTAAGAAAAAAACTGCTGTGTCTGTTAATCCCCCAAATGATAAAGATTTGTAGATCAGATCTGAATCAGAAGCTTAATTGAAATATGGAATTCTGCTGATCCTAGTTAAGTCCAGACGGGGCAAGTGGCGATCAGCTGAACAGAATGCTAGCCACAACTTCATGAGCAAAAAAAATATTTTTGGTTGAAGGTAATTTGGTTGTGCAATAGTATTAGAACAATAACTGACACACCAAGAAAATATCAGAGTTTTATGTGTACTAAGTGCAAGAGGGAAATAAAAAGAAAGATTTATATTCAGTAATATTTATAGTAAAGGTAAAGGCCCTCCCATTGTTCGTCAATTTGCTCGAGCAGGCCCAGTAACGTCTCCATTGGAGACTTTGTTGTTACTGTGTTTGGCATATCGAATACGTCAAGGGGAGCTTGCCAGGCTCTGCCGTGCGGGCGAGATACTCTTGGTAGCTTGCCGGGCTCTCCGAGAGGAGCGGAGGAATCGAACTCGGGTTGGCCATGTTGGCTGTGTGCAAGGCAAACGCCCTACCGCTGTGCTATCACTCCAGCCCCATTAAGATATGTTTTGAATATAAAAACTATTGTAAAAGTAAGATACATAACAGTATTATTAAATACACAATAGTATGTATTTCTAAATAGGATTTAGAACTTCATGTTACTAGGGGCAAAGGATATTTCATAATCATAAAAGTATCACTTTAACATTTTTAATGAAAAATTTTATCGTAGCTAAGGTAATATGTTTATAATGTTTATAATGGTCTTTGTTTACACAGTTACCTCACATTATCACTGCTAAAGTTCCCAAGGCCTAGCACCCATGCTTTTGTGTTACCTCCTGACACGTATTTCCCTTAATTTGTTATTAATCGATATCTATTCTCTTATTTAGTTTTCCTTTGCACCACAGTTTAGTGAGCTCATGCTCATCTGATACTTGTGTTTCTCTCTGGCCATATATCCTCAGCATGATGCCCTTCAGTTCCATCCAAGTTGCCGCCAACTCCATGATTTTGTCTTTTCTTCCAGCTACATAGCATTTCATTGTGTATATAATAATTTAATCTATTTGTTGTTTATTGAACATTTGAGTTGTCTCTGTATCCTGTTTATTGTACTAAGAACTGAACCTAAGAGTGCACATACCTAAGATTAGTGATTTTTTTTGCTTTTCAGGAGTAGAACCCAAGAAATTGATTTTAGGGTCTGGAGCAATAGCACAGTGGGTAGGGCATTTGCCTTGCATGCGGCTGACCCGGGTTCGATTCTCAGCATCCCATACGGTCCCCAGAGCACCACCAAGAATAATTTCTGACTGCATGAGCCAGGAGTAAACCCTGTGCGTCGCTGGGTGTGGCCCAAAAGGCAAAAAAAAAAAAGTTGATCTTATGGCATATGAAAACTGCTTTCTAGTTTTGGGGCCACACCACACGACCAGGGCTTTTTTCCTGGCTCTGTTGCTCAGGGATCACTTCTGTTGGGGCTCAGGATACTTTATGCACTTCTTGGGATCAAATGCATACCAGCCAGATGCAAGGTGAGTGGTCTAACCCCTGCACTCTCTCTCTCTCTCACCCCTCAAAGGATATTTTTTATAAAATTTTATGAAAATCCAGAATTTAAAAATGTACAACAAAACATTGTGGTTTATTTTAAAAATCCAAATGCTTGTGTCAAGGAATAAAGTTGCAGATAAGATTGCAAATGGATCTAAGCTTACATTTTAATACATCAGGAAAAGAAACAGAAATTAAACGTAAAGTAAACAGAAGAAATAGTGAAGATTGAAGTGAAAATGAAGTAAATGGAAAATTGAGAAAGATCAATAAAATGTGTTTCCTGAGAGATGAAAACTTTTTGTCTACCTTTTTGTTTATAAGATAAAATCTGAAACGTTTAACTTGGGTCTCATGCCTTGTTTGGCCTCTCTGCTCATCTTTCAGATCCTGGTTGACCTTTTCGAGTAGTCTAAGACTTTTGCACATGTTCTTTTTTTGTTTGTTCCCTGACCAACTTTCTCAGTGTCCTTGTCACCTAGCCATTTTCCTCTTGCTGATGACTAATTATTCAGCAGAGTTACATTTTGTAGGACATCTCTTAGTCTTTAAACGTCACTAAAACAGGTACGATATTTTGCTCAATTATTTTATCTTTAATACTTAAACACTTCTCTGTCTCATGGATTCTGAACAAATATTTGTTGAATGGATGAATTCTAAGCATGGATTTGTTTTCTTAAGCTATGACCAGTTGAAACATCACTCCTTTTCAGAATCTCTTGAGTCAGTAGCCTGAGGATTGAAAAATTATTCTTCACGGGTATATAAGAATGAAAGAGAAAAAATAATGCCTGCTTAAAAAAAAAAAAAAAAAAAAAAAAAAAAGAATGAAAGAGAATAGAGATCTGATGATTTTTTTTCACTCTTCATGCTTATTAATTTTTCTCTGAGGTTCTGCTAGGGAGTCAAGCAGATCCTTGACATTTGGTTATTACTCTTCTGGTGTGAAGTTTTATTGAGACTGTTTTGTGAGCTAGAGAAATAGTACAGTGGGTAATGCATTTGTCTTCCAGTAACATCTCCATTGTGAGACTTGTTGTTACTGTTTTTGGCATATCGAATACACCACGGGGAGCTTGCCAGTCTCTGCCATGTGGGAGGGATACTCTCGGTAACTTGCCGGGCTCTCCGAAAGGGAAGGAGGAATTGACTGCATGCAAGGCAAACACCCTACCCGCTGTGCTATCGCTTCAAGTTAGAGAAATTTAAGATTATGCATAGTAGACTTTGGACTCATCAGTGATGTAGAGGTGTGGCATATGAATATAGCTCAACTGCAGCGCCATAACTATGGAGAATAGACACCCCCCCCAAACTAAAATGATTTAAAATATACCTATTAAGGAGGGGATGCTGGTTAGGGTTGGAACCTGAGAACATTGTTGGATGGAAGTTGACACTGATGGTAGGATTGGTGTTGAAACATAGTATGCCAAAAATTCTATTGTGAACATATTTGTAAATAAAGATGAACAGATAAAATAAATGTAGTTGAGGGCCAGAGAGGGAGTATAGTAGGTAGGTGTTTGCCCTGTATGTGGCTAACCTAGGTTTGATCAGTGGTACCACATATGGTCCCCTGAGCACTGCTAGGAGTGATCCCTGAGTACAGAGCCAGGAGTAAACCTTGGGAACTGCTGGTGTGACTACCCCTCAAAATTCTTATTTTGGAAAAAAATAACTATTTTTACACATGCAGAAACTTTACTGTGTAGTTTTGGGGTTTTTTTTTTTTTTGGCTTTTTGAGTCACACCCGGGGATGCTCAGGGGTTACTCCTGGCTCTGCACTCAGAGAATAACTCCTGGTAGTGCTCAGGGGACCATGAGGGATGCCGGCGATCGAACCCAGGTTGGCTACATTCAAGGCAAATGCCCTCTCCACTGTGCTATTGCTCCAGTTCCTTTACTGTATATATTTAAAGATATATAAATGACGAAAGTGAAAAATAAATGTCTCAACACACTGATTTCAAGAATTACAGTTAAAGATGTTTGTTGACTTAGTCATTGCCTTCATTATATGTGAGTTTTTTATTCCTCAAAACAACTCTACAATATGGAATATATATCACTTTACATCTTTTAGTGTTTTTTTTCAAAGAAAACTTGTGATATGTATGTGTTGAAACTCAAACTACATCTGAATCCAAAAACTTATAATTTTCCCACTGTGGCCTTAGAAGTGTAAACTATTAAAATTTTTTTCAACTAAGGAAATAAAGGACAAATATTTAGGTCCAAATGATACATTGGCTAACAATGACCTGCAGCTATTTTAATTTATCTGACCATGACACAGTCAATTCAATAGTTTCTCTAAATTAAAAATTTGTACATCTAGCCACAGATGGCACACTTATAAAGAAAAGGAGGTAGTGGTAAGATTTGGTCTGACACCAAGTTTATTGTATAAATTAATAATTTTCTGTGACACAAGTAATATAAAACAAAACAGTGGGAAATGTCAGTAGTGAATATTTTCATTAAATGTAAAAAAAATTCTCATCAATTACTGATAGCTTAGCTGGAGTGATGGCCCAGCGGGTAGGGCATTTGCCTTATATGTGGCTGACCCGGCCGACTCAGGTTTGATTCCTCCACCCCTCTCGGAGAGCCCGGCAAGCTACCGGGAGTATCTCACCCTCACAGCAAAGCCTGGCAAGCTACCCATGATGTATTCAATATGCCAAACACAGTA